AGCCAATGGACTACAATCCTGTGTTGTAGTCATCCGTATTCTGAGGGACCTTTGTCAGAGAGTTCCCACATGGACACCACTTAATGAGTGGGTAAGTAGCGGAAGGTTGGAGGCATTTGGTGTAGAGGATGTCTTGATTTTAAGAATATAATTTTATGTCAGCTGGATTTGATGAGTGGGTAGAGATGCTTTATCCGTAGATGTGCCTTTTAAAACTAAATATTACACTGATGTGGCTATACATGTAAAAGTAGCTGTGACATCCACCAATTCAAAAGTGAACAGAAATCCTGAAAGATACTTGGAACACTTGTAATTTTATGATTAATTAAATGCTGAAAATCTGAGACATAATGTTGCACATTTTGTGAACAGACTATCCTTTTTACTTGCTGTACATATTATGAAGGTACCCTTACATGTACAATATTTCTGTATCCAGGCTATGGAATTGTTGGTTGAAAAGTGTGTGAGCAGTGGTGGAGCTAACATGAGTCCTGGGGATGCACTGAGACGAGTGTTTGAGAGTATCTCATCAGGACTTCTTCTTCCAGGTAAGACAGCAAGATTTCGGGTGTGACAGACTGTTACAAAAGTTCTTTGCTTGTTATATCTTATCCACATGTACGTGTATATATATTTGACTAGACAAAGTTCATTTATTTTGTTCACAATAGTCATAATCTTGTATTTTTCATCATAGGAGGTCCTGGCCTGTATGATCCATGTGAGAAAGATTCTGTGGACGCTGCATCCTCACTGACCAATCAAGAGAGAGAAGATATCACAGCTTCAGCACAGGTACATTGTAAATGTTGATTAAAAAAGTCAGCACAGGTACATTGTAAATGTTCAGTGAACAAGCATACATGTATAAAGAACAAAGAATTTTATTGCTTGATTTTATCTTTGAAACTGTGAAACAACGAAACACTTGAGTAATTTGTCCACTATTTTGCAGCATGCCCTGAGGTTGATTGCATTCAGACAAATCCATAAGGTGCTAGGAATGGATCCACTACCAGCACCGAAACATTTACGACAACGCATGAATCCACGGAAGCGTAGACGAACAGACAGTGCACCAGGGGAAGGAGAGGGAGAAGGTGTGTGGGAATTTTATCTCGTCTGTACACTAGTCTTGGGGGGAGGGTACAGTAGGACTATAATTCTTGCTGTTTGTAAATTATTTTAAAGTTAGATATTGGTCGTAAATTCTCATTTTTTAGTTACAGGTGAAAAGAAGGACAAGAAGGAGGATGATATAGACATGTCAGATGGGAAGTAGGGGTTGATGCAGATGTGTTTAAAAGGCAGAATGGTGAACAGAAAAGTGAAAAAGAAAAGTGTATTTTGTGTTGGAATTTCTTTTGTGTGAGTGTGCAACTGACACATGATAACAAAATGCAAAGTACTTGAAAGTCTTGCATTTAGATGTACATGTTTCTTAATTTCTTTCCTCCTTGTGCATAGGAATTTTATTTGGCTCTAAAGTTTGAAAGAATTGTTGAAAAAGTTTGTGTAATTTTTAAAAATATTTTATTAGAATGTATGTTTTGTGTTGGAATCCTCAGTTTAGAAACTTAATCATGTTTTTGAATATAGACAAAGTTTACATATTGTGTATGTGTTATTTGTGACAGAATCTGTCATTTTAAAAAATGTATTTTAGGAATTTTTTCCTGCATATACATATAGATGTTCAAATTTTCAAGCTTTATAAGAAACAATATAAAACGGCACTGATTATTTTTAAAGATACTTCTAAAGTGTACATCAGGAAAAGAGATACATTATTTTGCTGTGTTATTATATTTTTTGTGTACACAGACAATCCGCTTTTGGTAACAATATTTCAAAAATTCTGAATTCAGTATTGTAATACATGTAATGTGCATATTTCGTCTCAATAAAGAATATTGTAGACAATACTTCGTTGAAATTTTTGTGTTATATAAGAACAAGTGAAAATTTGTGAGTGATGGCTGATGAATAATGAATATAATGGGATGTACTTATTTACATGATAAGAACAACATGATAATAGAATGCAGAGTATTGAGCTGCATATCAAGAGGCAGTAATTAAATTTTATCAAAAGTAAGAGATGAATTAAAAATTACTTTTCCTCTATTCAGAGAATAGTAATGCTTCTTGAGTAAAAAAAAAGAATGGTACAGATCAATTTTGGTTTTATATAAAGTTGTCTGTTATCACTACATGGATTGGAGTTTATCAAGAAATTCAACCGACAGAGAACATACTCTTGTAATGAGGTATACTATCCTGATTTCTAGGTAAAATACATATTTGATACCCAGCTACCCCTGGACATAAGGCAAACTTCAGGTAAAGGTTAGGATTATACCCGAGAAAAATGCACAAGTTAATTGAGACTTACCTAACATTTTTTTCATTTTTAGCTCACCTGAGCCGAAGGCTCAAGTGAGCTTTTCTGATCACATTTTGTCCGTCGTCCGTCCGTCTGTCCGTCCGTCCGTCTGTAAACTTTTCATATTTTCGACTTCTTCTCAAGAACCAATGGGCCAATTTTAACCAAACTTGGTACAAAGCATCCTTGGGTGAAGGGGAGTTTAAATTGTTAAAATGAAGGGCCAAGTCCCCTTACAAGGGGAGATAATCAAGAAAAGACAAAAATAGGGTGGGGTCACTAAAAAATCTTCTTCTCAAGAACCACTGGGCCAGGAAAGCTGAAACTTATGTGGAAGCATCCTTGGGTAGTGTAGATATTAAATTGTTAAAATCATGACCCCCGGGGGTAAGGCGGGGCCACAATAGGGAATCCAAGTGTTACATAGAAATATATAGAACAAATCTTTAAAAATCTTCTTCTCAAGAACCACTGGGCCAGGAAAGCTGAAACTTATGTGGAAGCATCCTTGGGTAGTGTAGATATTAAATTGTTAAAATCATGACCCCTGGGGGTAGGGCGGGGCCACAATAGGGAATCCAAATTTTACATAGAAATATATAGTACAAATCTTTAAAAATCTTCTTCTCAAGATCCACTGGGCCAGAAAAGCTGAAACTTATGTGGAAGCATCCTTGGGTAGTGTAGATATTAAATTTTGAAAAGCATGACCCCCGGGGGTAGGGCGGGGCCACAATAGGGAATCCAAGTTTTACATAGAAATATATAGAACAAATCTTTAAAAATCTTCTTCTCAAGAACCACTGGGCCAGGAAAGCTGAAACTCATGTGGAAGTATCCTTGGGTAGTGTAGATATTTGATTGTTAAAAGCATGACCCCGGGGGGTAGGGCGGGCCACAATAGGGAATCCAAGGTTTACATAGAAATATATAGAACAAATATTTAAAAATATTCTTCTCAAGAACCACTGGGCCAGGAAAGCTGAAACTTATGTGGAAGCATCCTTGGGTAGTGTAGATATTAAATTGTAAAAATCTTCTTCTCAAGAACCACTGGGCCAGGAAAGCTGAAACTTATGTGAAAGCATCCTTAGATGTGTATAGATTCTAAAGTTTTAAAATAATAAAGGGAAGGGGGTTGTTGGGCATGATAGGTATAGCAAGAGGGGGAATCTGGTAAAGATCTGCATCACCCTAGTTACTCAGGGGGTAGGGCGGGGCCACAATAGGTAATCCAATCTATAAATAGAAATATATAGAACAAATCTTTAAAAATCGGTCAATATTGTAGCAATTCGTCTAAATAAATCCGATTTATTTAACGTACGAGTTATCCATATCTCAAAAAATATTGGTCTTGCTAATATCAGTAAAGAATTATAAATGATATATATTTAGAATTAGTAAATTTAAGAGCTACTCCAAAAATGACAACGTTTGAAAACAATAAAATAAAGAAAATATATATCCATCATTACATGAACATATAATTTCTGTACTGCGTTAAATAAAACATATTTCCTTGTCCGTTCTTGTACAGTGCTTTAAGTAGTTTCGGATTTTAAGCAGTTCCGGATAATTTTCGTTTAAAAATGAAAATTAAACACACAAAATGGATTCTGTCTTTTGTGAATTTTTGTATAAACGAAGCTGAATTTATTGTCTAAAATCTAGACAATAAAGCAAGATCATAAAGTCCGTCTCTCTTTCCATGTTAACAGCTTAATGTTTACTACCAGAAGCGCTTTATTTACGTTGATTAGAAAAATTACATGCTGTTTCTAAAGTTGTAGGTGTTTTTTGAAACTTTTTAAGGGTACCTTTTTAATTGGTGAAGTGTGGATAAGACACTGGTGTTTCTTCTTTCTCTAGTATTTTGGGTTTCCTGATACTACGAAGCATCTCCAAAATAATGAGCAATCTTCACAACATCTTAATTTAAGTACAGTGTTTTAAGTAGTTCCGGATTGCAATCAGGAAAACGCTTACTGCATTGTTTGCGTAGGACTTAAACTTGATTTCTAAACTGAATCAAATAGTCCTTTACCTACCTTTTCAATCCCTAAAGGCATTTTGTTAAAAATGTTACACTATATTATAAAACTCTCGTACATTAGATATAAGGGAATTCAAGCAGTTTCGAAAATTTCAAGTAGTTCCGGTTATAGCCATTTATCGGGATTATTAAATTGAAATCGTATCAAAATTCATTATAAATGATCAATTTGTAGAGAATTCCCTACAATGAGACCTTAACATGTAATTTATATATGCATTATATCAATAAAAATATAAAAGAGAAAACATGATGTTTAAGCAAATTTATTGAAAATGAAAACATGAATTAATCGCAACATGAAGTGAACTTATGTTTCTATACACTTTCTCAGCCCTTTTGAAATCAATTTAATTATTTACAAATATTTCAATGAAAAATTAAATTATGTTTTTGTCCTTTTTATTTTTTTTTTTTAAATATTGTATGGTGTACAACTCCTTTGAGAAAACATCGTCCGTAGTAAATCCAGAACTACTGTAAGCGTTTTCCTGATTGCAATCCGGAACTACTTAAAACACTGTACTTTCCTGTAAATAGGCCTAGCACATATTCATTATCTCGAGTAAAAATAGAAACAATGTAGGACCATTACATAGTCAGGACAGCAATGTTTTTGCAATGGTGCAAACCGCTGTTGTTGTTGCAACGAAAGGAAATAATTATTGAAGTCAAATGATACAAAAATGGACGTCCAGTATTATTTTGCCTGCTTGTTACTTATGTTTATACACAGGCTCAGAGCAGGTATGATGTTCTTTATCAGTTATTTATATCTCTGTTGTTATTTTGACATACATATTTTTTTGGTTTATGTCTACATTCAACTGTTATAACATGTTAACTTATTATTTCAATCGTCTTGAATTTTAATTTTTTTTTTATTTTAACTAAGTAAAGGGTTGATGCTCATGATGCTATTCATTGATTATGCATGTGTTAAAATGTCCAAATGAAATCTTGAACTTAATGGACAGTCATCATATTCATTTCAACCTTTATGGATCACATAACTTGGCTGTGTTATCTTTTTGTCTGTTATTATTAGTATTTAGTCTTTAAAAGTGTAAAAACACTTGATTTTACCATGAAAAGTATGCACATTGAAAATCAGACTTTAAGTAAGACTAATGTAATCCATAGACCTAAAGCGAAGGGAATTTAGGTCTATGTTTAATCTAACTGTGTTTCTGGACAAGTCCTCACTTCAGTTAGAATATGTCCCATATAGTTGCAGTGCACCAATTCAGAGCGGATCTGCAACAAAATGATTTTGAAGAATACAAAAGGATGCATGCAGGGACCCATGTACTAAAGCTAGTATATAGCCTTAGGTCCATGGGATAATAACTATCAAATTGATCAAAACAAACCTTTTTGAGCTTGTATATGCCTTCTTAGCTAAAAATAATTCATTTAAAGACAAAACTTCAACCGATTACTCATTTTCTAAATGTATTTTCTCACAGAATTTACATGTCACAGTAATGGCATTTAGAGTTATTGCCCATGTCGCTGATACATTATTGACACAATCTGAACAAATTATACCGTTAAACTTGGTCCATATGACAATTCTAATGATAGAATGTTCTTTCAGTCTATGAAACGTACCCCAGTAAACCTCTTAGTTATATCATTACAAATATAGATAACGGTACTCTTTTTGTGTACAAACAATGGATATCTTGCATAAAAAAAATAAAAATTAAAAAAAAAATTATTTCCAGAGGAGTTCTTGGTAAGTTCCTATGATTTCTTGATAAAATCCTGGCTTATGATTGGTTGATGTCTGTCACATGAAGGAGGTGTAATACTTATACACGGTCACTTGAAAAATCAAAATACAGTCAATACGGAGTTATCATCCTTCTTTATCATTTTAAGTGACAATTGACATGAGGCATGCCGAGTCTCTGTAGACAAAAGTTAATTAACACCAATAACGATCACACATTATGTAACCTTTTTTCTATGTACGAAAGCTCTCGTCTGCACAAATACTCCAAAAACATATTACATAGTACAGGAGTGATGAAATATGTACATACTATGAATAACCTGATACTCTTTGTCATTGAAACTCAGTTTAGCAATATGCTATCATCTGAACATGTAAGTTCATATAATTACAATCAAATATTTTTTTTTATTTCTTTCAGCCTCATTCTTTGGAGACAGTTACTTGAACCTTCCATTTGTAAACAGTAGAGATGTGGAGCTAAAACTCCGGTTTTTGACCTGGCAGTCACATGGTTTATTGTTTTTGGCGAGGGGATCCACGGATTACCTGTACCTGTATCTACAGGATGGGCATGTCCAGATTGAAGGAGACTTCGGATCTGGATCACTGACCTGGAAATCCCAACAGACAAAGAATGATGGGAACTGGCATCACCTTCTAATCAAGCAAAATACCCAGTATTTAACTGTCACTCTGGATGCCTCAGAGAGTCAGATAAGTATACCTGGAAAGTTCCATGAGCTGAATGAAAATGAAGTCTTTGTGGGTGGAATGCAGAAGACCACAAGTTTTTCCAAAAAATGGTCATATTTTCGTGGTTGCTTGGGAGATGTGGAGTTCAGCAAGTATGATATTATAAGCAATGCCCAAAAGTTGCCCAGTTCTGGGGCAGTGCATCACCTGTCCTGGGACTGTACCATGGAAATTAAAGCCCAGTCATCCTCACCAATCCATTTTCATTCTAATGCATCTTTTGCTGCTTTTCATCACCTACCATTTACAACCACTGGAACCATTTCTGTACAGTTCAAAACTTGGACCGAAAATTCACTTTTATTATTTAATCTTGCAAGGAAAAACAATAAAGATTTGTTGGCTATTGAAATAATATCAAAGAAGCTTAAATTGACTTTGAACAAAGGAGGTGACAATGTTGTGATTAATTCAGATTTGATAATCAGTGATGGAATGTGGCATTTACTCAGCATACAGTGTAAAGATAAAGAGGTGAAATTTTTGGTGGATAAATCTGAACAATCGGCAATGTTTGATGATAAAAGCAGAAGTAACTTTGAATTTTCTGGGCATTTTTTCCTGGGAGGACTAACATCCCATGTGTTAGCTCATGCTGTGGATCAAAATATAGAATCCCTTTCAAAACCTCCTAATCAAGGGCATTATATTGGATGTGTAAAAAATTTATCAATTAATTCAAAATTGTATGGATTTCAACAAATGCAACTTAGCCATGATCTTGATACAAACTGTGGAAATGTGTCAGAGTGCATTCAAAATTGTCAAACTACAACCACCCAATCAACATTCAGATCCCATAATTCCACACCAGCTTACGAAGACCAGTATGTTGAAGTCAGAGGAGTTACCCTCAAAGAAGGAACAGAAAAAGTGATTACCACCGACAATATTTTTGTTCTAGTGGATTACAAGGAACTTAAAATTCGGGAGTCGGCAATTCAGTTTGATTTGATGCGATTTCCAAAACATGGACATCTGTTAATTGACCTTGGTAGAAGAAGAAGAAACAGGGATGTTTTTACACTTCTGGATTTGCAGGGGAGAAAAGTGAGCTATGTTCATGATGGATCAGAGACCACAAGAGATGAAGTCACCCTTAATATGAAAATAGCTACAGATACATATGATATTGCAGAGATGCAGAAATCCTATACTTTCTTGTTACCATTCTACATAGAACCAGTGGATGATAAGCCTAAATTAAACTTACTTAACAGTACTCAAAATGAAGTGTCATTAAATATGGCCAAAGACACAAAGCTGAGGATCACTAAATCTATTATTGAAGTCATTGATCCAGACTCTTCACCAGCTAATTCTCAGATATCAGTAGTGTGTACCCCAAGAATTGCCGGCAAGTCTCCTGGTCACTTTATGGAATCAGATACACCTACCCAAGAAAGATCAAAATTCGCATATCAAGAAATTTTAGATGGCAAGATCTGGTTTTCCTCAGGCCCTGATTCATCGTCCTGCTTGCTGACCATTGGAGGGTATTCAAAAAGGTTAGACATTAATGCTGTGGATGTTTCCCTTCACCTTGAAAACACAGGCATTAGAGTCACGCAGGGCAGCCATGTTGTCATAAGCAATATGAATGTGTTGGTCACCAATAATGTACCAATCCAAGGACTGGAAATCAGGTACCGAATCACCACTCCTCCAGAATTTGGAGACATTCAGAGAAGGATGTATTCTAATGATTCCTGGCAAAGTGTGGACACCTTTGCACAGCGCCATATTGATAATAATCAAATACGATATATAAATAGAGACAAACAGTACCTTGTACAATATGACAGATTTTCAGTAGAAATCTCTGTGCTAAACACAACCATAAAAGGCCTTTTGTATATTTTAGTAGATCGACTTAAAATTGAAATTGTCGGCATCAATAAAGTGACAATTCAACAGAATCAATTCAAAATTATCTCAAAAGAGGAGTTACAAGCTAAAACAAATGACCAATGGTACAAGGCCCAAAACATCAAGTTTGACATTTTGAGAAGACCACATAGAGGAAATCTTTATCGAATTCATCACAGCAACATTTCAGAGGAACTAATTACTGAGATGACTCCACTGTCAAACAGCGATATCTTCAGCCAGGAGGATATTAACAGTGGATATATTGTTTATCGTCTGCACCGCATGACTTACGAGAAAGTGACAGACTTCATCGATTTCAGAGTTACAGCTCCGCCAGCCATTCCCAAGCTGATGCGACTAAATGTGGAATTTATTCCTCGTCAGACACAAGTGCGATTGACAAACAACTTGTTGGATACAGTTCTAGAGGGAAAAGAAGAAGTGATTACAAAAGACTTTTTGTACCTAGAAACTGATGACTATCAAAATTTTGAATTTGATGTGGTGGATTTTCCAAAACATGGGACTTTGAAACTAAAGAATGGATACAAGGGATTTGTACGACTAAGAAAAAATGAAATTGCAAGATTTTCTAATGCAGACATAAAAAATGATAGACTTGTGTATGAACACGATGATACAGAAAATGACAGGGACAGCTTTGCTTTTGTTGCATCTCCAATCCTAACCTCAGCAACTACATTCCCAGCTAAAGTACAGGAATTCAGTGGAAGATTCCACATCCGTGTAATCATGAAAAACGATAATCCACCAAGAAGAGAAGTGGATAAGCCTTTTAGGGTGGTATCCAACAAGGAGAGGCTAATTACAGTAGATGACCTCAGTTTCTCTGATCCAGATATGAATTATAATACCATGGATTTAAGATATGAAAGGGAGAAAATTCCAAATGGTGAAATTGTTAACAGTGAAGATGGGAAGGCTGTATTGACCTTTACTCAAGGAGATATAGTCAAAGGAAAAATCAAATTCCGCCATCATGGAGAAGAAAATGCCAAGGTGTTGATGAAAGTTTATGACGGGAATTACATTGAACATTTCTTGTTTAGCATTCAAGCAGGGAGTCCTTATATTGCAGTCCAGAATAACACAGGGGCGTATGTTCAGGTCGGCGAAGATGTTAACATTAGTACTTATAATCTGAGTATTGAAACCAATGTGAATGTGAAGCCCGAGGAGGTATCATTTGTAATGATAGAGGAACCATTACATGGCAACCTGAAAATAAATGGACAAACTCTGACTCAATTCACATTAAAGAACTTGATGGATGGGTCAGTGAAATACAGACACACCCATGGAGGAATGGGTCAGGATTACTTTAAGTTTGCAGTTGTTGCCGGGGAAGCCAGAACACAGGGTCAGTTCAGGATTCATATTCTGCAGGGTACACCATCACAGATCCCAAGAGTGATCAATAACAATGTACTTCAAGTTCAGAGCTTAAAAAGTAGTGTCATCAGTAGATCTCATTTAGAAGTCTTTAGCTCACTGTCTCAGCCATCATCCATTGTGTTCACTGTCCAGAGCAGACCCAGATATGGAGCAATATATGTTACATATAGATTTGGAAGTAGACAGCAGAGTAGCTTCACCCAGTGGGATATAAACTCTGGAGCGGTCTCCTACAGACATACGCAAAAAGGTCACAGAACAGACTTCTTCACTTTTGATGTGGCAGATGGAGTCACAGGTCAAAGGTTACGAGGCCTGACCTTTGGCATTGAGGTCTTACCCCCACCATTAGACATTGAAACCAGGAACCTGTCTATCAGAGAAGGAGGAAAGAAACCATTGTCACCAGCTGATATTGTTTTAAAATTCACGTCTCCAACAAACCAGACTGTCGTCTTTCACGTGGTGAGACAGCCAAGGCATGGCCATCTAGAATTAATCGAAAAGAGAAACGAGGCACTGTCCACTTTTACAATGGACGACTTGAGGCAAGGGAGGGTTTATTACGTTCATGATGGAAGTGACTCCAAGTTTGATGAAATGGTCATCAAAGGTCAGATGGGGGGTAAAGAGGAAACAGACGACCATCATTTGTACATCCACATCGATGCTGTGAACGACGAGGCCCCTCAGGTCATCACAAACAAGGGCCTGACTCTGTGGCAGAGCTCCATGGCTTTGATTTCTAAGGTAATTTTATTTACCAGTAGAGTAAAACATTTTTAGTGAATATTTCTCATACTATAGACATTTTGGAAATTCTTATTTGGAATTCTTGAAATGGTAAAACGTGTATTCAGAGAATACAGAAATAAATGCTCTGAACATTTGTGTTACATGTAAAACTGTTTATGTAGTTAATGCTTAGTGTATCTATATTTTTAGAATTTTTTACATTTCAGTAATCAATGCCAGTTAACCTCAAAAAATAATTATTTGCCAGAATTTTCAATTTTTGTCAAAATTTGGAATACATGTACATTTATTTACTGTTGATCACTAAATTTTCTCGACACCTTATTTTCGCAAATAGTCATTGACTCTTGTTTAGCGAGACATAATTTTCACGAATTGTGGTTATTGCTCTATATAATCTTAAGGAATGCTTTATACGCGAGAATCAAATTTTCGTAACCACACTGTCTCGCATAATTACGTGAAAATAAGGTTTTCGCAAATATAATGTGATTTACAATACCAAGACAGCCAGTATTTCTTAGTGGGTATTTTCACCACTGTTATTTTGTTTCTAAGATAGCCATTGTAGATGATCTTTCAGTTCTTAAAAAATTTTTTCTTATATTCTATATTTAAATTTATTACAGCTACAGCTTTTACTGACAATTTTATAGGACATCTTGTATGCTGAGGACCCTGACACACCAGAAGAAGGTGTGTGGTACTCTGTGACCAAACCGACCAATGGCAGGGTGGCATTCCTCAACAACACATTCAAAGACATCACAAGATTTACCCAACAGAGTGTTAATGACGGCCAGGTGGTGTTTGTACACGAAGGTAGGAATTATTGATTCTTTTCCGTTCTTCTCAATGGATAAAGATGACATTCTCAAAATGTGATCTCTTAACCATTTCTTTCAATTTGCTGTGAAATAAAGTACACCATAGTAAAATATTCATACTAATGTTTTTTCTAAATGAGCCAAAGATGACTTTTATACATTTATATTGATCCGATTCAGTGACTGACTGAAACTGGAAGGGTGGACTTTTGTACATTTTCATATTTTGTATACACCCCAGCTAGACAAAATTTTTAATTATATGGGAAAACCTTACCTGTAATGATTTCTGAAGTGTGGTTTCTACTTCATATGATGATGAATTTACCTTGAATTGATTTTTTCAGGTTCAGGTTCATTAACTGAGGTCAATTCAAGTAAATTGTCTCATAAAACAAGTGTATTTTGCTTAAAATTATTTTACACATGAATCAATTAAATTAATTGATTTTAAACACTGGGAATTTTTCAATTTTTCGGTGAATACATAGTACATCATTCAAAGCTTGGTTTGAGGTCAGTTAAACTCATTCGAAATTTAGAAAATATTAGGATACATAATTCTGAAATTGTATAAAGAACCTTCAAGTTTCTCCTCCACTTTTGTAAAAAAAAAAAATAAGTAGAGAGCTACTTCCCATCAGAGAAAGAGTTAATACTGTTCAGCAAGGATTATCAGTTTTAAGAAAGGCATACATGTCATTTAATATCCATGTATATTCATCATATGGTTACAGGTGGCAATTCTGGTAGTTTCTGGTACCACCTGAGTGACGGTCAAAACAGCAATGCCAACCGAATGCAGTTCCTCATCACAACCAGAAAACTGGTGCTCACCGTGGTCAACAATAAACCGCTCCAGGTCCACCCAGAGCAAATCCAGAGAATCACCACGGACCACCTCCTCAGCCGCACCAACAATCCAAACCAGACCAAAGACATCACATACCACGTGCCAGTGAAACCGGAAAAAGGTCGTCTCATAACCAGGATTAACAATCGTGTGGTACCAGTCGTTTCATTCACCCAGAAAGACATAAATGATGGACAGATTTATTATCAGCACGAAAGTGTCATGCTGTCAATTGAGGACACAGATAAATTTGTTTTTGAAGTGAATACAGTTTATGCAGAGACTGTTAAAAACCAGGTGTTTAACATTGCGATATCTTACAGCAGTCAGAGCAACCGCGGCAAAATCCGGCTTCGGAAACTGACTTTGGCTGAAGGGGACCAAAAAATTCTGTCCAAGTCAAACCTGGATATTTCCACTTATGTGAGACAGCTGGAAGCATCTGGTAGGGTTGTGTCTGCTATGTACTCCTTAGTGAATGTTCCTAAACATGGCACTCTGACTTGGAGAGGAGGAAATGCTTTGAGAGAATTAAGCAACTTTACCCAGGAGTACATCAACTTGAACAGAATTGTCTACCACCATGATGATTCAGAGAGCAGAAATGATAGTTTCAGTTTTCTAGTGTATTTGGACATGAAATATGGATCAAGTGAAGAAATACAGATTCTTGAGGAAACCTTTCCCATTGAGATTAACCCAGTGAATGATGAACCATTTTATTTTGTACCAGACAATCCAGTGTTAGAGGTAACAGAGGGTGGTAGTACGGTTGTGGATGCCAGGGTTCTAAAGATGGTAGATAAAGACTCTCCACCCGAAAGACTCTGGTATGAAGTCCAAACTCAACCAAACAATGGGATTTTATCTTTCCAAGCTGACCCTCAGAGATTGATCACAGCCTTCACACAGAAAGATGTAGACGACGGTGATATCATTTTCACTCAGAAAGGACCACCCCTTCCATCTTTCCTGGAGCTAAAAATAACTGACGGGAAATTCCCCAGGAAGTCTGTGACTGTAGCAGTGAGTGTTGTGTCCTTGACCTTGGAAATTGTTACCAATGCAACCATTAACATTCCTCAAGCTTCGACCTCTGTGTACATTACCAGAAGTCAGCTTGATATCAGAACCAATGGAGAGAGGGAGAAAATAGAGTACACCATTACCAGGCCTCCATCTCATGGACAGATCTATCTCAAAACCTATCCGGTGACCACATTTACACAACTGGATATTGATAATGACCACGAAGTCATGTACGTCCAGAATGATCTCAACTTCCCAAATGACAGATTTTTTTGTGACATTTCCTACCAAGGATCTGAATTCATATTAAGAAACAAGCTAATCTCAGTATCTGTAAAACCATTTGTAAAGCAAAAACCAATACAACTATCCAAAGAGAACCAAACAGCTATAACATTGCAAAGTCTTGATGCAAGGGGACTAGCTAACGTAACAGGAAGTATTCCACATTATAAAATTATACACCAACCAAAGTATGGCATAATAGTGAGTGTTGTTCGAAGAAAGAGAGATGTACAGTCAGGTTACATGCCAGTGGAGGAGTTTACCCACAGAGACATTGAAAACAGAAAAATCTTTTACATTTTCAACCGACCTGTTCGAGGACAATCAGAGGATAGGATGACCTACTTGCTGACCGCCAAAGGGGTCCAGCCTGCTCTGGGTCAACTAGTGTTTAACCTTCCACACAGTAGTGGAATCAATGGTTCAAATGTGGATGGCGTTGGAACTCGGGAAGTAGTGAGTCCTAGTGTTAGAAACGATTTTGTTCTCATTCTAGCCATCCTCATTCCTCTGTGCGTGATCGTAATTTTAGGAGTGATAATAGTGTATCTTTTGTGGAGAAAACGAAGGTATCCTAATTACACTCCCCCGTCAGACATGCATAAAAACCGGTTACGACCAGAAATATCTGGTCCTATTCCGCTAAATCAACCACATGTTCACATTGAACCCAACGAAAATGCATCGGATGATGAGCATTCTTTAGTGTATGAACACCACAATTACTACAATGTTCCCGTGGTGAGAAGGAACGTCTCCGAGGACAGTATTTCCGATTCTCACGAGTACAGTAACGTCGGAGCAACATCACAAAACCAAACAGAAGTTAGTGCTACAGTCCCAGAGTGCAAGGTCACGCCCCTGGGTGACCTCAATTTAAGGGATTCCATCGTGTCGCGATCGAGTGTGGACTTGTTTGATTGGTCGGTGATGGATGATCCAGAACTTTTACAGTATTGTCGAACCTCGGCTCCCGTGTTGAAGGATAGTCAATACTGGGTCTAGTCCTGTGATATGTGTGCTTGTTGGAACTTTTCAATCAGTGCACTTTTTGTTGCTTTATATTGTTTTTTTTTTAAACATGTTAGATTTTTGGGTGTACCTTGGAAGAACAGGTATTAGGAAAATAAGTTAAACATTTATTGATATTTATTGAACATGTTGAAGCCGTAAAATTTTAAAAATGATCAATGGGCATTTTGATAAGAAAAAAATATCAGACATAAGTAACATTTTAGAAAATTCCTTTTAGGATTTAAAAAGTTCACAGTAGAAGGCATTCAGATGTATCATTTTTTTAATTCAAAGGTTGTTTTAAATATCACAATTTATCGATCATGTTTATCATTAATTTCTTTTAAATATTCTAGTGCAAATGTGTCCGATTATTACTGTAAATGTATTATATTTGGCGTGTACAATATTTGGCGGAAACTGACTTTTGAACAAGTTAGCGTAGATTTGATTTAGTGCATTTCTTAATGTTTTTATTTATGAGTATATATGCAAGACATTTAGCATTGTACTTGAATTTGCGGAGGTTTCTTTCTGCCAAAAGCGCTAAAAAGAATACACAGCCAAATATAATACGTTTACAGTATTGATTTTAATTTTCTGTTATGCCAATTGTTTCCCTGTTGATGTTAAGAAATTTCAAAGCATATTTATGAATACCAATTATACCATTATAAACTTACTTTGGTTTGTGGATAGACATTTCATTTTATCCAGACTTTCATGTGGTTTTAGCTTTCTGTTATCCCCAGAATTTACTCTCTGTATTTATTTTGATTTTATTTTATTTTTTTTTTTTTCTTGATTTCTTTGATAGAAAACACTCAGAAGCTTTATTTTTCATTCAAGATTTTCCAGTCAATTCAACAGGCAATGAAATTTTAACTTTATTATAAAAAAACATTCCTTATACTAACGGTGTACAAAATCCAGAAATTTTAGCTAATTAGCTTTTTCATAGAAATCATGGGTATATCATGTAAGAAGCGTGAAAAAAGATCTCAAATCAAAGTTAACATGATATATTTTATTGTGCCATTGTTGTTTTAAGTTGCATTTGGATTATTACAGATGCATAAGTAGGAGATAAAATTTATTTTGACTAAATTTTCAGTATTTGATATGGCTGAAATATCTATGGATAAATAAATTCAATGTTTAAGGGATGGGGGATTTATACTTAAAATTTTGATGCAAACAAAATAAGATATCAACAAATTAAGAAATGTCAATGATATTGTAGCAATGTCTTGCATTTTTATTGTGATTTAGTTATAATATTGGAGATGACTTTTAATTCATAATAAAGTTAGTAATAGATGATGATGAATCGATCAATCTCTATACATGTGCATGTAATATCACATTGACTCATACTTGGATATATATTCCTGTAGGAGAGCAGATTGTATACCAGGTATTAAACTTGTTTATCTTTTTGTGTTGTGCCAAATCATAGCTTAAAATTTCTTTCAGAATTGTGAAATATATGTACATGTATTAACTATAGATAAGATTTTAACCAAATTCTTTATCATATTCTTAAAGGACTAAATATAGGAGATTCGTTTTACAGGGTATTATTGTATTTTATATCAGTTACTAGTAGTTTGTCTCTAAGTGCTAAATAAACATTTTCTGTTCCTCAAACATTCAACAATTTTTTAGGTACATCACATTTAGGCACATTTTAGCTAATACTTCTTGATTAAATTGATGCTGTATAATAATTGTGCCAAGAAGTTCTATTTGCTGTATTTTTTTTCCTCCCAAGTTTGCTAATTATGAGAACTATTCTACATGTAAATTGTGAAATAGTGAGATCCTAACTGATTAACGATTCCTGTCTGATCATGGGTTAACAAAGCGTGGATGTAATGAATTTAATAAATCCACATTTTCCCCGAGTTCATCCTTAATGTAGATTAACTTGGTAGTGTGTACTAGTCTGAATTTGATAATATGTGTAGAGCTGGAAACAGCACCCTGATGTATACAATACTCCAGAATATTTCATTGATATTGAAATTTTCAATCAGTTTTTGTAAATAGTAAATGCTTTATCTGTAGATCCAGGTTTTCCATGTAGAAGTAGAAAGTAGTTTTCAAGATTTTTTTAAAAATGTTAACCAACTTTAACTGCAACTGAAAATGTGTAAAACATTTTTAGCAATTTCATAGCTTTTTTCTCAAGTCTGTGCCATTTGTATCCATGGTTAAATTCTTAGGTATGAATAAAAGAAAGTTAGATTACAGTGGGCAAGAGAGGTTTTGTGTTTGGAATGTTTATACCTTGTTACTGATACACGTAACTTCAACCAGAAGAAGTTAAACATGTACCATTTACAAATCAAGGTTTTGTGTACAAAATCTATTATGACAGGTTTTCAATAATGTAAAATAGCCAAATGATGAAACAGTGCCAATCCAACTGAATTTTTTTTTTGCTCCCAACAAAACATGTAAAAGTATAAAATGCTGAAAATAAATTGGCAATAATTAAGATTTTGATGCATTTTGGTACAAAAGAATCGAGACGGTTTTTTGTTGGTCCTTGGTTTGGTGTTACAATGCTTGTTGACTGTTTTGTTCTGCCTTGCCCGTATACAATTTGTCATATTGTATATAATACTGATGCTTGTTGTTATATTTCATTAAGTTATAATCATTATCACCTGATAATAAACTTTTGAAATCTTTATTTTGTATCTTTTTTAATTGTATATTATAGATAAGCCTGATTTACCAATGAGTCAGATTTGAAAAAGACATTATTATCTCTTTTGCACAGCCGTATCTGGGTGAATTTAAAATGGGGCAAAATTGTTTGCAATTGAGAAAGGGCAAAAATACATTGGGGGAAAATTACCCTGTATATAGTCACAACTTTAATAAATAATAAAATTGGTTCCCATGCCTATATAGCCACAGCCAAAGATTCAAGAAGATTTTTTCTGATCCAAAATTAAATTTTAACATTCTAGATTTCAAGTTGATCTTATTTCAATATTGCTAATGAGTCACTGTCCAATCCCAAGCAAAACTAGAACTCCTTCCTGTGGCTGGTTACCAGCCATAGGAAGGTGTTATTAGAAGTTTAGAACCTACTCCTTATACAATGTACTGATAAAGATAGCTTCTAAAGAAGATTATAAGATTTTTTTGCATATTATTTATGTATGAACCTGCCAACCACTTTTAATTGAAAAGTGTAATTAACTTTAGCTGGTCTGGGGCCCTGCATATAACTAACTAGAAGAACTCAATACAAATGGAGATAAATACAGATCCTTTGTAGATTGATGAAACAGCATTTTGTTATATAGATGCACATTTTGTTATATAAATGCCAAATGATACACCTTTGGCAGTCCTTGAACTACAATTTGAAGAAATTGGAATCAATTACTTTTAAAACTAGTGCTAATTGTAACGGGGACCGTTACAGATGTTCCCCAAACGCTCCCCAACTCCTTTTTGATGCCATATTCCCTGTAAGCTTCATTAAATAAGACAAACTCTGTGCATTTTGACTTTAACAACGTTTTCTCAGAAGGATACCAATTATATTCAAATTTTTGCATTGCACCCGTGCGCATGTGAATGCATGTCCGTTATGATCATATCATCTTGTCTACACTATCTACATATTTTAATATACAATATATTAAAGCATTCAGTCCAAAAGTATGAAAAATCACTCTTTGAAGTGTATTTTTCATTTCACTCGTTCCAAATGCACGCACGTGCGTGCACGTGCATGATGACCATACCTTCTTGTAGGAGTCCCTTACATCTATCTATATTCTAAATCCCATCCTGTTTGGTTGAAAAACAAGGGAGTTATAGCCATTTCAAGTTTAAGCCAATCAGATTGCAGCACAAGTGCATGCGCGTGATTTCATTTTTTTTCTATATCATATTGTAGGATATTCTAATGCATGACAATGTTTTAAATTTCAAAGCATTTCGTCAAAAAACAAAGTAGATATTGCCATTTAAAGTTTCAGCCAATCAGATTGCAGCACGCGGGCATGCGCATGATTTCATGAAAATTCTTATATATCATGCTGTAGATCTTCATAATGTAGGTCTATGTTAAAAATTTCAAAGGATTATGACAAGAAACAAGAAAGATATTGAGACTTTAGTTTCAGCCAATCAGAGCGAAGCACACGTGCATGCGCGTGCGATCTTGCTATTTTGACCATGTCATCTTGTGTATACTCTTAATATATACTTATAAAATGAGTTTCAAAGCATTTCATCAATAATTTTAATAGTTACGTCTGTATCAATTATATTGGACATTTCTCGTGTTGCACGTGCGAGCTCTTGCAAGCACATGTGCATGCACATGCTTTCATGAAAAATCTTATATTACAGGCTGTAGATCTCCCTTATGTATGACTATGTTCAAAATTTCAAATGATTTTATCAAAAAACAAGAAAGATATTGAGACTTTAGTTTCAGCCAATCAGAGCGAAGCACACGTGCATGCGCGTGCGATCTTGCTATTTTGACCATGTCATCTTGTGCATACTACTAATATATCCTAACTTTATAAGTTTCAAAACATTTCGTCACAAAATAGAGAAGTTACGGTTATATCCATTATATATTGCTCATTTTAAGTTTTGCACGTGCGCGCTCTTGCAAGCACGTGCGCGCAAAATGACCTTGATTCCGCAAATCTACATAACATGCCTACTTACCCTAAAAAGGTTTCACCTAAGTCGGATGTGTAGTTTACAAGATCACTCGCGGACAAAATTTTCCCAGGAAGAAAAATAATAAGAATAAGAATAACTAGTGCTAATTGTAACGGGGACCGTTACAGATGTTCCCCAAACGCTCCCCAACTCCCTTTTGGTGCCATATCCCCTGTAAGCTTCATTAAATAAGACAAACTCTATGCATTTGAGACTTTTACAATGTTTACCCAAAAGTGTACCAAGCTCATTCAAATTTTAGCATTGCACGCGTGCGCGTGTGAATGCATGTGCGTAATGACCATATCATATTGTCTACACAATCTATATATTTTAATATACTAAATATTAAAGTATCTAATCCAAAAGTA